TAAAGAACCTTGTAATGAGGGTGAAAGAAGAGAGTGCAAAAAATGGTCTGAAACTCAACATCAAAAAAACTAAGATCATAGCCACTGGTCCCATCACCTCCTGGGAAATAGAAGGAGAAGATATGGAGGCAGTGTCAGATTTTATTTTCCTGGGCTCCATGATCACTGCAGATGGAGACAGCAGCCCCGAAATTAAAAGACGCCTGCTTCTTGGGAGGAAAGCGATAACAAATCTTGACAGCATCTTAAAAAGCAGAGGCATCACCTTGCCAGCAAAAGTCCAAATAGTCAAAGCTATGGTTTCTCCTGTAGTGATGTATGGAAGTGAGAGCTGGACCATAAAGAAAGCAGACCGCCGAAGAATTGATGCTTTTGAATTGTGGTGCTGGAACAAACCTATCAATTCTAAAGGAAATCAACCCTGAGTGCTCACTGGAAGGACAGATCCTGAAGCTGAGAATCCAGTACTTTGGCCATCTCATGAGAAGAGAAGACTCCTTGGAAAAAACCTTGATGTTAGGAAAGTGTGATGGCAAGAGGAGAAGGGGACGACCGAGGATGAGATGGCTGGACAGTGTCTGCGAAGCAACCAACATGAATTTGACAGAACTCCGGGAGGCAGTGGAAGATAGGAGGGCCTGGTGTGCTCTGGTCCATGGGGTCACGAAGAGTCGGACACGACTAAACGACTAAACAACAAAGACAGTAACATACCAGAATTTAGTTTATGAGTCCTGCCTGCTGTTATATTGTAAACTACCTATCAATAACAGGACTGTTAGTTGCTCAAATAAATTTGGACGTGAACAGCATATATATGTCGATATTTAGCAAACACTTATTTTTATTATATAATACCAGTCAAATGTTTTTATAATTTTAATTGACTATGCCAGGGACAGTGGGGAATCAAACTGCCAACCTCTGGCTCCACAGACAGATACCTAAACCATTGAGTTATCCAGCCAGTCTAGATCACCCTAATATTTGTTAAAAATTACAGACCTAAATCATGGGCACAAGGCGTGAACTAAGATTGTTTTTATGCTCTATGTTCATTTTCAGTTTGTGAAGTGAGTAAAAATTAAACCACATTGTTTTTTTATAAGTGTACCTTTCCTTGTGTTTTCAGGAAACAATGCTTCAATTAATATAGAAGTAGATCCTAGGCATCCCACCCTGCTTCCTGAATGTTACTTTCTTGGAGCAGATCACGGTAAGATGATTCCTATTGAAAACCTTATTTTGTTGGTCATGCTAGCTCTTTCAAGAATGCTGTTTGTAACACCCCCTTGTCCACATTTGGCAAGAAGACCAAAAAGATGGCAGACTGATTCAAAGCCCATTCAGAGGAGTTGATGCCAGCCATCGAGGATAAGAGGAGAGCTCTAGCAGCATACAAAGCCTGTCCTAGTGAGTACAACTTGCAGGCTCTTCGAGCTGCTCGTATCCAATTCCAACAGACTGCCAGGAGATGTTCCAATGATTATTGGGTTCAGCTCTGCTCTCAGATACAGATAGCAGCGGACACAGGTAACGTCAAGGGAATGTATGGCGGTATCAAGCAGGCTCTAGGTCCAATACAGAAGAAATCTACTCCCTTGAAGTATGCTACAGGTGTGATCATCCAGGACTGAGCACAGCAGATGAAACGCTGGGTGCTGCACTACTCTGAGCTATATGCCAGAGAGAATGTAGTAACCAAAGAAGCATTAAATAACATTGAGTGCCTGTCAGTCTTGGAAGAGTTGGACAGCAAACCAACTTTAGCAGAAATAAAAGTGGCCTTGGATTCCCTCGCCTCCAGCAAGGCACCTGGGAAGGATAACATCCCTGATGAAGTGCTGTAAAGAGATCATCACCATCAAGCTGTATGAAGTACAGTATTTTGCCTTTGCTGGAGGGAAGGAGGAGTACCACTGGACATGAAGGATGCAAACATTGTCATTGTAGGAGACAGGGGCGACTGCAATAACTACAGTGGCATCTCTTCTTAGCTTTGTAGGGAAGCTGCTTGCTTATGTTGTGCTGAAGAGACTCCAGGGCTTGCAGACAGAGTCCAGAATCACAGTGTGGATTTTGAGCTAATAGATCCACCACTGACATGGCATTCTCCCTTAGACTGTTGCACGAGAAATGTAGGGAAGAACGACAGCCACTCTTTGTGGCCTTCATAGATCTCACAAAGGCCTTTGATTAGGTTAGCAGGGATGAACTTTTTAAAATACTTACCAAGATTAGATGTCCACCTTTACTCCTTAACATCATCAGATCCTTTAACGAGGGAATGAAAGGCACTATAGTTTTTGATGGCTCAACATCAGATCCCTTTGACATCCGAAACGAAGTGAAACAGGGCTGTGTCCTCGCGCTGACCCTGTTTGGGATCTTTTTTGCTGTCATGCTGAAGCATGCCTTTGGAATTGCAGCAGAAGGTGTCTATCTTTGGACTAGATCAGATGGAAAGCTCTTTAATCTCTCTAGATTGGTCTTCGCTCTCAAAGTCTAGCTGGAATGCATGTGGGACTTCCTCTTCACCGATCATGCAGCCATTGTTGCCCACTCTGCTGAAGACCTCCAACAACACCTGAATTGTTTTAGCAAGGCCTGGGAAGACTTTGGACTAACAAGTCATGGGCCAGGGTGTGGACTCACCTCCCTCTATTACTGTCTCCACACAAGAATTGGAGGTTGTTAATGATTTCGTTTACCTTGGCTCAGTGATCTCTGACACTCCCTAGATGTTGGGCTACTATTGACAAAGTAGCTATCATGTTCTCTAGACCCACAAAGGGAGTATGGCTTAATAAGAAGCTGACACCATGTACCAAGATCTGGGTCTATAGAGCCTGTGTCCTGAGCACACTCCTGTACTGCAGTGAGTCTTTGACCCTTTGTGCACGGCGGGAGAGGAAGCTGAACATGTTTCATATGCGTTGACTCTGATGCATTTTTGGTGTCACCTGGCAGGACTAAGTTCCAAATAGAGTAGTCCTAGAACAAGCTGGAATTTTTAACATGTATACATTACTGAAACAACAACGTCTACGTTGGCTTGGGCATGTTGTGAGAATGGCTGATGGTCGGATTCCAAAAGAGCTCCTGTATGGAGAATTACTGCAGGGAAAGCGCCCCAGAGGGAGACCACAGCTGCCTCGAATTGGCTTTCTCAGCCACACTAGATGCTGTTCCAAGTCCTCCATACAGAGCACGTTACCATAGTCTCTTGAGACTGAAGGATACCTAATCAGACTAGCTCTTCTGTCAATATATAATTTAGTTACTTGACTATACCTGTTTCAGGCAGACAAAACCTGAATGATATCTTTCTAAATTTTTAGAAAGGGGGGAGGCATCCCACTCAAAAAATTGACTGACTTAGTACTCTGCAAAAGACTATATTAGCAATCTGAACTGAGAGAGACATCTCACTGTAGCAGTGCAGCTGTGAATGTAAAGTACATCTTTCTAGGTATGCCACATTATCAGTTTTTATGTCGTGGTAATATAAACTGTAAGAAAACACTTGGTATGTGAATTTGGGTGAGAGCAGATAAGTGACCAATACTCCTTTAGCATTTTCAAAACAAAAGCTATTTACAGTTTTATCATACCTTCTCTAAAATGTGCAGTTACTGTTTTACATAATAGCTCTGTGCACGGCTACTGCCATGCAGTTAGTGTCACTCGAGTCCAGCAATTTTTCTTTAGCATCCAGAGCATCTTTCTTCCAGTGCCTGGAGAAGCCTAGGAAGCTTACCCTGGATTTCTCCACAGATTATTGGAAGGTCTCACCAAAGCATCTTATTCTGGATGATTTGAAAATCATCTTGTACATCTCTCCGTCCCTATGGATCCCTAATCATCTTGCTTCCTGTCGGTCAGGGTTCTAGCTAGACATTGCTGCCAGTAGACACTCTTTCCTTATTTGAAATGACAGAGTTGTGTTTGTTTGTTTTCATTTTACTTTTCTCTCTTTCAACACACACAAACTGCTCAAGGTAGCTAACATATCTAAAAATAAATTAAACAGTAAAACCATGGAAATCATCAGAATTCCTGACAAACATTAAAACAGTTGAAAAGGCCAGTGTGAAAATATGTTATCTTCATAGTCTTCCTAAAAGGAGCAAGATGGCATTTCCATCATTACCACTCCAAGATTTTAAAATGTGTTACAATAAACATGAAACTATTTAGATACAAATAAAATATAAACCATAAAATCAGATGTAATTTAAAGTAGCACAAGATTCACAGTAACAGAAAAACTAAGCACAGAGTTTAAATATTGAACGATCCGGGCATATTGAGCCACTCATGATTACCACGATGCTGCAGATCTAAACCTTAAGAGTGGGACTGTATGACTCGTTTTGAGCAGAGAGACAGTGTATGCAAGGAAACTATATATGCACATGTGAAACTTTCCTTCTCCCAGTGACTCCAACCAATATTGGTGTACTGCACTGTTGGTGGTGCAGAAGCAGACTCCTAGTGGTGATGGTGGTTCAGCAGGAAAGAAGCATGGAAATGACAGAAGAAACTTCTAGGGGGCAGAGTTTGTGCACCAATGCTTTAAGGGGAATGAAAGCAATTGGAATTATTCTACTATCTTGATTAAATAAAACTTGATTTAAGAAATGGCTACCCTTTCCCCAAATGGACAGCCAATGACCTTAGCTGATCCACTGTTCCTCTAATTTTTTAACCAAAAAACTGGGGAGGCAACATAAGTTGAGGTCTGCTTTGATAGGCATTAACAGCTTAAGAATTGAATACACATTTAACTATGTCAGGTATGTATTTATCTCAAGGCATTTTTCCTCTGTACTTGTATTGGTGGCTTCATGCCTTAAAGATCATATCTTAGTATCTAGTGGTAACTGTTTTATGTCTTTGAAAAGTATGGCGAACCATTATGTGCAACTGTGTTATGTGGCAACTGTTGCTCTTGCCCAGTGACAAAAATTCCGAACAGCAGATAGCATGTGTGCCTGTAGTGCAGCCCCTCAGTTCTAGCTTGGATTTGCGATTTGGGAACAACATGCTAACAGACTTCCTTCCATTGCAAATGTATTCATGAAATCAATAGTGCATACAAGGCTGAGCATCATTGTCATATTGAGTTACCGAAGATGAAACTTGCCCCAAGCAAATAACACAGAGCTAAATAGCCTGCTGCCTTAGAAGCCAATGCACAGAAAAAATGGGAATGAGTATAAAAACAAATACACTCTTGATCATTAAGAATGCATGTTCTGTGCTAAATTGAGCAGCCAGATCTACACCTCACACAAAATTTGAGGAAGCAGAAGCTCTCTTTGACTCTCTAACATGTCTGACTCTGTAACATGTTTTGACTCCCCTTAATCCTCTTAACATTCTTTTAGTAAATGTTAATAAAGAGAATGCTCATGTACTGAATGAGGCCACCGGAGTTAAGCTTAGCTCAGAAAAAACAGAGGTGCTCCTGGTCAGTCAAATGTAGATCCGGAAATAGGCATCCAATCCATGCTGGATGGGTTATACTCCCCCTGAGAAATTAGGTTTGCAGCTTGGGTATAGCCCTAGACTCAGCTTGGATGTCCAGGTTTCAGTAGTGGCGAGGAGTGCTTTTGTCCTTCAGGAAACAGGCAAAGAGATGATGATGATGATGATGATGATGATGATGATGATGATGATGATGATGATGATGATGATTATTATTATTATTATTATTATTATTATTTGACAGGCTATTAACAGCTGCATTGGCAAAATCACCAGTTCTTGATTTTGGGATGCTGGAATTTACTATCATTCTTTTTATATGAGTTTAAGGTGTTTTTCACTGCTGTTAACTGTTTTAATATTATGTTTATTTTATGCACTGTGTTTTTAGTTGATGTGCTTCTTAATAATTTGTAAGCTGCCTTGAGTCCCTTCATCAGGAGAAAGGTGGCATAAATGCAAAATAATGAATAGATACAGTGTGCCCCGCATGACGACAATAATCCATTCCAGGAAAATCGCTGTACAGGAAATCGTCGTCATGTGAAAAAAAAAATCCCCATTGGAATGCATTGGAAACTGGTTAATGCATTCAAATAGGGAAATTACCTGGTCGTCCAGCGAAGATCCTCCATAGGGTAGCCATTTTGAGAGTGCTGATCAGCTGTTTTTAATCACTGTCTTCTGAAGCATGGGTCGGAAAACAAAACAGCGGGATTTTGCGAAGCCGACAGTAAGCTAAAAAGATTGTTGTCCAGTGAAAAAACGGTTCCCGAAGCAGGAATCTAATCATTGTAAAGTGGATTTCCCCCATAGGATCCATCGTTTTGCGATCGCTATAGCGATTGCAAAAAAGTCGTCATACTGCGGGGTCGTCGTATTGTGGGGCACCGCTGTAAATCATATTAAGGGCATCAACATGTTTTATTTGTTTTCAGTGGTAAATCCCTTGAAAGTCAAGCTCAACAGCAATATACACTTGTGGTAAGTGTATTTTTTATATATTTAGTTTATAACTTTAATGTTTAACTTTGTTGGAAAATGAGCATTACAGTATTTATTTATTTATTTATTTTGAAGGAGGTTTTAGAAATAGAATTTCCATCTCGAGAAGCTCTGGAAAAATCAGTAAGTTAATCCACAGCAACTGGGTAATCACATTTTGAATACAGTATCAGATGGGAGCAGCAGGAAGCACTTTCTAGAAAAGAATGCCTGTGCAAAAGATACCAAAAACTTCAATTTTTAAAAAAATTAAAGTCTGCAACATATATTTAACTAGCTATCAGTATGAATACAGCGGTGTCTCGCATTGCGATGTTAATTCGTTCCAGCGAAATCGCTGCTAAACGAAAATGTCGCAATGCAAAAATAAAAAGCCCATAGAAACGCATTAAAATGCGATTAATGCGTTCCTAGGGGCTTCAGATTCACCGTTCAGCGAAGATCCTCCATAGCGCAGCCATTTTCGCTGCCTGTTAAATGAGGAATCCATCCCAGAAAACAGTGGGCGGCCATTTTGAAACCGCCGATCAGCTGTTAAAAAAGCATTGCTTTGCGATGATCCCAAGCAGGGAACCAATCATGGCAAAGCGAAATTCCACCGCCAGCCAGCCAACCCCGGACACCTGGTCTCCTTGGCGGGGGTGTCCTGGGGCACAGACGGGCGGGCCGGAGGGGCGGGATGCATCCAGGCCACGGCCTGGGCAGCTGCTGGGCAAACACACACTGCTCGGGGCGTGGGGCCTCTCCCTCCGGGGGCCGGGCTCCTCCGGCTCTCCGCGGCGCTCCCAAAACCCAGTGAGTCTTTCCAGGGCCAGCCCTGCAAACAGGTTATCGGCTGCCCAAGGCACTTGGCTCCGGCCTCTGCCTCCACCCCCGTCCTGCCCATGGCGCCTGGCGGGTCAAGACGTGGCCGCGCTCCCCAGGTGCTGCAAGGAAGGCCTCCGGGGTTTGTCTGCCTTGGACGGCGAGCGGCGGGAGGAGAGCTTGGAGGCAGTGGGAAGGGGCGCGCCACCCACCGCCACCCTTAGCGGGGCTCTCCTGGGGCGCAGACGGGGCGAGGAGGCCGTCTCTGGCGCACCGCCCCCCGTCCAGCCACTGCCACCCTGATCCCGGTTCCGGGCGGGCGCCTCCTCCTTTGCAGTGCCTCCCGCCGCAACAGCTCTCTGGCTTGCCGCCCCCGAAGTG